GAGGCTGGCTTCAGGGGTTGGCTGGCCAAGCAGTCTCTGCCCGTCGAGGCCGCCGTCGTCACCCTCACCAGCGGCGCTCAGGGCGCCGCCATCGGTGCCTTCATGGGTACTCTCACCAATGACGTGTCTTCCTCTCTTCCCACTCCTCCTCCTCAGGCCGGCCTTAACCCACAAGCCATGGCCTCTTTCAAGCAAGCTCAGGTCTCTCTCTCTCTCAAATTTCACTCTATTTTCGCTTAAACTACGAATTGCCCTTTGTTTGGATTGGATTTCTATTGGGAACTGCGCGGAGAATTTGGAGAAAGATTGAAACTTTTGCGCACCCCATTTGGCATTTTGATTTGATGATTAATCCCAATATTTTGTTTCTTGTTTGTAGTAATTTTCAGTAATTAAACACAGAGAAAGTTAATTTATTGGGGAAAAGTTATTGCTTTGTTCTGTGTGTTTGCTTACTGTGATTGCTGTCGGTGCCGGAAAATGCTATATCTTTTTCTTCCTCTCGGAGATTACCTATCTAAAATTTGATTCTTTTCACTTTACATGCGTTAGTACTTTAATTATTCGGCTTTTCACATATAACCCTTTAAAATATTACACTTCAAAGAAAAACACTTAAACCCAACCTTGCTTACATTGCAATGGGAGGACACTGAAGAAGTTTCGCAACGAAGAATCAACTGAAGTATTTGTTCTATGAAACTTATAGTTGTCAGGGTGTTTTTCTAATTTACTATTATTTGGTAGTTCTGTTAAACATTTGTAGAAGTTGAAACTTGTTCTTGTAGTCGTGTATTTTAGTATGAACCCCAAACATTCTTTAAGGTTCTCAATGGTAACAGATAAATTTTGAAACATGGCTACCGTTTGAATTAGTTTGAGCAGTTGCTCTTACTTGGTGGAGCTGTTCCGCTGATATACACAAATTGTTTGCTTTGATTATAGGCCCTTGCTGGTGGTCCGTTGGTCCAAGCTCGCAACTTTGCTGTAATGACTGGTGTCAATGCCGGCATATCCTGTGTCATGAAAAGAGTGAGAGGCAAGGAGGATGTCCAGTCTAGGTGAGCGTATTCATTTGTCCACACTGTTTGGTGTTTATAAATTTCCAGTCACATTCAATTGAGATTATGATTGCTTTGATGAAGAATTATAGGCAGTGGTTAACAACATTGAAGTCGGTGTGGATACCTGGTCTCATATGGCCATATTTATTCTGTTTTGTGACTTAGCCAAAACCATATGAATTGTGAAATAATATTAGGGTAACCTTTCTTTTAAAATTTATCTTAACTCCTGTCCTATGTGGATGCTGCCTTGCTGCCTTGCTGCCTTTTAGGCTGTATTTAGGTCATGTGGAGTAAGGAACAGACTTTAATGGATTGGTTCATTTGGTAAAATTGAAACTTACTGTGAGGGTGAGATGCGAATTCTGGGTTCTTTGCCCCTGTATAAGCCAAGGGCGTGCCACCACTGCCTAGATTTTCAGCAAGTCCCTAGGAGATCTCCTGTCGATTTATTTCTTCCACCCCACCACTCCTTTTTCTTTCCCGTGAAAAAGTGTTTCTTTATCTAGAAATGGATCATCTATCAAATTGTTCTTCATTTATATAACTACTTCAATGTGCCGCTATTATAGATTTCATGTGTTTCTGTTCCAAGTGGCCTTCGTTTCTTTGTTTTGTGAAAACCCTATTTTTGTTTCTATGTACTGCAGCATGGTGGCTGCTTTTGGTTCGGGAGCCCTGTTTTCACTGGTGAGTGGCATGGGTGGCCCCAATCAAGCAGCAAATGCAGTTACTTCTGGACTCTTCTTTGCACTTGTTCAAGGTGGACTTTTCAAGGTGAGACTCCCACAAGATATGATTTATCAGTTTGGTAATAGCTGGAAAGTGAAGTGTTTTCATTTTCTAGTCCTTAGCTACATGATTGCATTGCGGTTTTGGGAGACATTAGTAAAACAAACATGTCATTTGAAACGCAATGAAGCAGCTGAAAATCTGGAACTCACTTCTTCTTTTCTTTCGAAAATACCAAATGTAAATGAAGGTGTATGCGGTTGCATGCTATTCCAATTTCATAGTTCTAATACTATGCGACCTGTATGAGTTAGTACTGCTTGCATTGCATGCACATTTGTTTGTATCGGGGTCTTGTACTTATACGCACTGAAGGCACTTTTCACATGGTTATGCAGTTGGGACAAAAATTTTCTCAACCACCTACTGAAGATATCTACTACGCTAAAACAAGAAGCATGTTGAACAACCTTGGCCTCCAGAGTTACGAGAAGAATTTCAAGAAAGGCCTATTATCCGACAACACTTTGCCTCTGCTCAACGATAGGCAAGTAGCAGGACTTTCAAATTCTTTATCATTCCTTACTATCATAAAAGTTACTTTTTATGTCCGTATTTATAAACCACTTCAATTAACGCCATTCCGTTTGTCCTGCCATTTCGTTTCAGTGCTCTTAGAGACGTGAAAATCCCTCCCGGACCCAGGCTTCTCATTCTTGATCACATTCAGAGGTACCATTCATGCTCCATAAATACTTATATCGCACCCGCAAACTTGTGAGTTGGTTTGGATTATGACTAAATTTTTGGTTTCAGGGACCCGGAGATAAAAGAGAAGCGAGGACAGAATAGTTGAAGTGCGTATTTGTCGATTTAGTCTGCATCGCCATCCTAAAGGAGAGCCCTTCCATCTCCAGATCTAAACCTTGGACTGAGAAGTGAGATATGTTTTGAGTTGAGATAGTGTGATTTTGTTGTCCGACTGTCCTTAAATATTCAACTGCTACAATTTGCTTAGATTAAATTAAATGATTGCATAATTTTTCTATTTACAGACCAGATACAAACACCAAGATATAATGGTTAAAACATCGAGAGTATCCCATTCTCGGGGTATCTTAAAAAATCCCGAGTTCCAACAGGCAAGTTGATCAATCCAAAGTTTTACAATGCGTCTTCCACCGGTTTAGTGGATGATTGGATTTGCGTGTTTTGAATTAAACATTTCAATGGAGTCGTTCATAAAATCGTACTCTTTGATCTCGTTGGATGCATGAAGTGAGCGTATCTTATTGGTTACCGGAACATGTGTAGTAATATGCACTAGTACGACATTACACATGGGCGTTGGAGATGGCAGATGTGGTTTCACATGGACACCATTGTCTTCTTTGTGATCTTTTCTTGCGGAGGTAATTGCTTGCACTGTACGTGTAGCTTCGCATCGCCGTTGTCCCGTCCTTTTCTGAATCGGATAAAGGTGGAAGCTGAACGCACATGAAGTAAGAAGCGGAATGCGGAGAAATGCGTAGCAATTATGTTACACAAACACGTATGACTTATGAACAGAGTCTGAATTGCAAGATGTCATACGATCACGTATGACAGACGAACGTAGTGTTCTTATATTGTATCAAAAACGTTACTCGTGCAACGTTCATATGGAATGAGAGAAACTTACTTGCAATCGAAACGTCACTGTCACTGTCACTGTAATGGTATCTAAACCCAACTAGTGTTTGCTATAACCGTATTCTATTCCAATAGAGTATTGTTTTATATTGTACTTATTTCATATGACAATGTTTAATTAAATTGAGATATAATCACAATAATGTCTCAATTACATAAAAATTGAAATATGAAGAGCAACTTATATGAAACAGGTTCACCGCTACATAACGTCTCGATTCAATAATATATTGTCATATGAAGAAAAATTTACACGTAGTAATATATTATTGAACTGTGATATTATTTGACGGTGAATCTATTTTATGCAACTAAATAGGAAAAAAAAAAGAGGATTAGGCAAGAGGACGTAAATTGGAATGGAGTGTGGACCCATGTGGCACCATCTATGGCTTTCCTCCGGCTTCGTTTCCACCGTTCAGTTTCAGCACCTACGGTCGTAAGACCGAAATACCCTCTTTTGAATTGTTATGAGCACGTCAAGAGATCATTGATGTGTCTTCTGTCATGCCATTACCGAAATACCCTCTTTTTTCAGGGAGTATGAGAGACATTTACATTACACGAAAACGTTTTTTATGGTAATGTTTAAAACAATTCACATGTCGGTACATGTTTTGGGATTTTTATATGACGTTGCATGGTGTATTTGACATTGTCATCTTGATATTTCCGGTTATTGTAACTATTTCGGAAAGCATATAGAGAGATAGAGTTGGTCAAACGGAACAAACAATTAGTAGACTTTCATCATTTTTTGCATGAGAAATGATAAGGAGACTCTCAAAAGTAGAACTCTCCATGAACTACCTGTCATCTCATATCTTAGCACATTATTTTATAATATTGATACAAAAATTAATGTTAAACTGTGAGGTACAAGAAAATTACTTATTTTATTGTGATTGTGATGTCACCCTAGAGATATTTTTTTCTTCCCCATGTTCATTTCGGTGGGGGAAAAAGAAAGTCGCAAGTTTGTCCACAAAAACTATTCACCTTTCACCCAATTCTTTAATCTTCACTGAGATCATCGACTAACCAACCAAAATCTGGTGGTACCATTCCATGCACCAACCAATCTACCCCACAATTTGCTCTCCTTTGCTCTAATTAATTCAATTACTAATCATAATCAGTTAATTACCCTACAAAATTAATTATTCTCTTTTGTTTACAACCTTCAAAGTGACATATTCTTCAATGTATCCGAAAAACACCGATATGTCATGTTATTATAAAAGTGGAGGAAATGTTTATTTTCTTTTTTTCTTAAAGTTCTATCACTAATATAATAATATATAATGTATGTACCCGTATTCTGAACACATTGAAAAATCTCAGTCACAAACTATTGTGGCCTCCTCACTAAATTTAGTGTAAGTTAATGAAGATATCCCATTTCAGCTTAAACCTGACGAGTTATCCAATCCAATGTGATATAATCGACACCCAATGAGCATTTTAAGACTATCAACCGGACGGAGAAATTGCAAACACCAAGAACAAGAATTGCAAAACAATATTGATCTCTTCTTCCCTATATATTTGTTTTCCTTGAAGGGCAAGAAAATGAATCGAATGATTCAAATCGTCAAACAACATAATAATACACAACACGTACACGCCCAAATTACAACGAAAAACTCGTCCCTAATTACAACCAACAACACAACCAAAAACAGTTAAAGAAGAGGAAGCGGTTAGTAACTCAAGTTTTAACCAGGCTGTCATTTGGAAGCGAGTCCCGGCGGCAGGGCAACGGCGGAAGCCTGGAGGAGGCGCTGGGCCTGCGAGAGCTTGTCCACGAGGGCCAGAATCCGGGCATGATCCATACGCGCCTGATCGACTGCCTCGGCTTCGAGCTCACCGAGCTGCGAGCAGAGGCGCTCCTCCGCCTCCTCGGCGACTCGGAGCCTTTCGCGGGCCCTCTGGAGCTCCGCCTTCATCCTCTCCTCCCTCTCCTGGCTCTTCCTCAACTCCCTCTCCAATTCCTCGTTCCTCTGCCTCAGCAGCTTCTCTTCTTCCGCCGCCGGCTGTTGCTTCGTTACCGCCATTTTTGTTAGACTCGAAGAAGCTCACAGGTCTCAGCTAACGAAAATACAAAGTGTTTTGTGAGTTGTGGTGCGCAGAGTACGTTTATGGAAAATACAAAGTGTTTTGTGAGTAGCGGTGCGCAGAGTACGTTTATAAAGGCCAACAACAGGTGTCCAGGTTCAATGGAAATGCTTTGGTTTCGAATTTGTGACTCTGCTTACGCATTTGCATCTGTCATCCTAACTCTTTGTAGTGCCAAAATTCTATTTTATTTGAGATGCGTTCGTATGCCAGTACTAACTTTTATTATATTGAATTGGACTTAAAAGTTAGTGTAATTCCATATCTATTACGTGCATGGACCAACTTTAATGGAATGATATGTCGTTAAACGGTAACCTGATGACAACATGATGTTAGCTAGCCGTTTCTAGCTGGCGTCATACTGACGCCAAGTAGCCGTTGGCATTCAAATGGGCTGAGCTAGAGGATTGGTAGAATGTCAAGCTTGACATTGTGGAGCAGGAGGCCTGGCAAAATATCAAGCTTGACATTTTGGTGCTGGAGGGCTGGCAAAATGTCAAGCTTGACATTCTGGCGCTGGAGGGCTGGCAAAATGTCAAGCTTAACATTCTAGCACTGGGGGGCTGGGCTAGAGGACTGGCTGGCTGGCTAGAAATGGGTAGTCCGCTGGCCTGATTTGGGGGTTTGGGCCCGGTGGGGCCCATAAGCCTTTTGGCCTAACCCTCGGTTGGAGACGATTTTCGTGTCATTCTTAACTATTTTTAACATTATGGTCCTTTGATCGGGTCGGTTGGAGATGGCCTTAGAGATGAGTCATCGAGCACGTTCAAATATTGGCCCAAAAATCGATGACCACCATATGAGCTCATAATGTATTCTAATGTTTCTAGCCGACAAATCTTGATTATTAATTTTTAATTAAAATTTGTACGATTAAAAACTTTGAAATATAAGATACCTGAAGCATAATAGAATTTGTATGTGGTTATCTCCGAGTAACTAATCATCTCCTCAATTAGATATTTAGTAACGTTTTTTGTTACCAAATTGGGGTGTGTTATCCACACACCTCTTTTTACTTCTCTCACACCTCTTGTTAATTTTTGTCATTTGATCTTCTTCAATTCATCCGATCCGGCAGCCAAAAATTAAAAAGGTGTGAGAGAAGTAAAAAAATGTGTGTGGATATCACATCCCTACCAAATTATATGTAAATACAAACAAATAACAAAGAAGATTCATTTGGTTAACGTCAATATAGCTGACCAAATTTTTCATTGTCATCTCACATTATTAATATTGACGTTTTAAGTGTTTTTAAAATGATTGAAAGTGTTTTAGATTAGAGTACTTTTGGAACAAATTCTTAGTAAAAATATAAGTAAATCATAAAAAAAAAATCACTTTTGAAACACAAAAACACTTTCATTAAAAACGCTTTCAATTATTTTAAAAACACTTTTAAATAAATTGTATTAGTATTAGCACTGTGTGTAAAAAATGAATTTTTTTTTTTTTTTTGAAGGAGCATCGTGGCCTTTCGTGGTTGCATAAGACACTTGATTGACAAACTAGTGGGCGGGCCGTCCTTATCTTCATAAAGTTGGACTACGCGGTAAGCATGCTGCGACACGATGAATATTCCGAGTGAACGAATAAATGTTATTAATTTTTCGATACATACTAGATATGTAGTGTTTCAAAATTTTGTGTAAAGAAATAGAGTTATTTAATTTGTTCTATCCATTTGTCGAGTATTGTCAAACATTTTTTTTTTTAAGGAAACGATAGCAGTTGTATTTCAATAATAAGGCATTACAATGAATCAAAGGAAAATTAGGGAAAGAAACAATCCTCAACCAGTATCCATGATAGTACTAGGAGGAGATCCCAACCACTCACAAAATTGATCCACAGATAAACCAGTACGAGCTAGCCTATGAGCAACCCCGTTAGCTTGCCGGCGAGTGTGGGTAAAAGAAACTTTAGTGACTGTAGAAACAATGGCCTTGATGTCTTCTATCACTTGTCCAATGGAAGATAGATTGACAGAAGAATCATAGACAATCTCCACAAAAGCGAATCACTCTCACATAATAAGTTTGTAAATCCCCTTTCAAATGCCCAAATCAAGCCAACCCGGACCGTCACAGCCTCTGCTTGGAGGGGTGAGAAGATATCAGAAAACTTCTCACATTTAACAGCCAAAAAACCTCATGATTCATTACGAACAATCAAACATTTAGTAGGCATGAAAGGGCATGTACCAAAAATACAGGTGGTCGTAGGACCACTTGGTTCCAATGTCCATCCGCCATTATGAGCATTGTACTTCATGAGTTTATTAAGTTGAATAAAGGTATATTCCATCTTCTGTCCATAATTTAGACAAAAAAAGAAAGTTTCAGATCAAATTACTTTGCAAATGTGAACAAATGTAATCTAAAACATTAGATCTCCAATATTTACCGACGATTTATTCCATGTTTACTTTTATTTATGTGGATGTAATATGAACATAAATGGTAAACAAATGAGTACGTCTTTCTAAAAGCTGATTATTTTTCGCTATATTATCTTAACGAGTAGTGCTATTCACAGTATCACACGCTTATTTTTACCTCCCTCATACTGTTGTTAATTTTTTTCATTTATCTTGTTCAATTTATTTGATATGATAATTAAAAATTTAGAATGATACGTGAGAAATAAAAAAAGTTGTGTGGATAGTATTATTCCGTCTCAACGCGGGTCCGTGGAAGGTTTGTGGCCATTCGTACCATTGTCGTCCTTTTAATTGTGACATAAGTGGTATTTCGAATTGGACCAACATCCGGTGCCAACTTTTGTTTGTCAAATCATTTTTTAAATTAATTACTTTAAAAATTACGAAAATAACGATTGACCTCGAGTGCTTAGTTGCTAAGTATATTATTTTGGCCAACCCATCTAATCACGCTAGCGGCTTAAAGAAAGACCAAATTTATGAGCAATTAAACTAAAACCACACTCATATTGCTAACATACAATTTATGAAAGAAAATTTTCGATGTCACGGAAACACAGTCTTCAAGACACAAAATTTTATAATAAAAGTGGTTGGATACTAAAAAAAAAAAATTTAATCACTTGTATTATGACACTTTGTATACTAAACTATATTTCTGACCGTTAATAGAATTAGTTGGTGTCGGTGAGAGATAAAATTAAAATGAATATTTGGCACCCTGACGATTAATCATTCTAATCTTCCCTTTACTATGTATGATTTTATGGATTATGACATGCCCTCCACCCAACAAACACAACTTGCCATCATGTGCTATGGTCAACTCTTGCTTTTTAAAGCCCGATGGGCCCCGTGTAATAATTAAAACTAGAAGCTCGTTTGAAAATGTTTTCGGTGAAAATATTTTTAGAATAAATTATTAATAAAAATGTAAGTAAATTTTGAAAAAAATACTTAAAATGCTTCTTACAGAAAACACTTTAAGTATTTTTGGAATCCAAAAATATTTTTTCTAAACTCGGTTTTAGTTATTTCAAAAGCACTTCCAAACAAGTTTTAAAACTAAAAGAGCACAGATTATTTTAAGTTGTTCAAAGCATTTTCCTTTTCATATATTTCAAATACAAAGAGTAAATATAAAATAATTATCGCTCTAAAAATGTTAATTTTGAAATGGTTAACGGACGTTGGGCCGAAAAGACGATACGAGATTAAACTCCCGTGCAGTTTATGAATTTGATGGATTGGGCTTACGAGTTCGACTCCCCAAATGCCCAATATTATTTTCTTTTTTGTCCTCATCTTGAGCTTAAAATTTAGGAAGTTTTAACAAAAAAAACCCACGATACTGTTTACTTTAACAAAAAATCACATTTTTACACTAAAAGATCAAACCTGTTACTATTCACTTTACCCTTTATTTTGTCATTATCATTAAAATTCAAAGTTTTCAAACAATTTTTATAAATTTTCCTTAAAATTTAAAGGATTTTTAACTCAAATAGTCAGATTAATATAATTCTTCATTTTAGTCATTCAGTGTTTCTATTAAATAAAGATAAAATCTCTATTTAATAAATTGAATGCATTTTTATCATTTAGTCCTTATATGTATTTCATTGAAAGATCAAAATGATTGATAGTAGACAAACTCATACATCACTACTTCTATCGATTTTAAATCTTAAAACTCAAAGTAAAGAGTTGTACCAATTTTAAGTACCATTTTGGCTAAAAAGAAAAAAACATACCTTAATTTTAATATAGGAAAACTAATGAAAATAACTTGAAAACTTTGAGTTTTAATAATAAAGATAAAATAAAAGATAGAGTAAATAATACCAGAGTTAATTTTTTAAGATAAAATATAATTTTTCAAGATAAAGATATGATTTTTCGTTAAAGTGAAAGTTATCAGGAGTTTTTATGGTTAAAGCCTCGTAATAAATCGACCATCATCTTTCGAGTTCATCCCCCTTCTCCCCCTCCGCCTACAGTAGTCAGACCACTTGCAATGACATAACTCAAATCAAATGATTGAGCCATTTTTTTATTCATCAAAACTTGAAATGTTTACTTAAAATTCAAAACAATCAAACAAATTGAGCAACAAGAAGAAGAAGAAGGGGAATACGTGGGCTCTCTCTCTCTCTCTCTCTCTCTCTCTCTCTCTCTCTTGCATTGCAGAAGAAAACTCCAAATTTACCATCACTCTTCCCTTTCAGTAAGTTTCCTGTTTCCGCATCATTTATTTTTCTGATTACGTTTTCAATATCATCTGGGAAGATTAGATCTCTCGTTTTTAACGTAATCTGATTATTTATAGTTTGATTAAGATTGTTAATTTATTACGAATTTCGTCATCTTCTTGTTGGATCATCCGAGGACCCATTTACCCGATATGCTTGATCCGTTACTTTCAGATGCTTAATGGGTCATTGAATGCTTTGCATGTTGAATTTTGGATTTGGGTTTTATTTGGATCATCTGATTTTGCTCCATTTTTGTTTCTTGCATTATCATCTTGGTCAGTTGTTGATTTAATTTTGTTCTGGCACTTCTGAAGTACTAACCTTTGGTTGAAAAAGGTTTCTTGAAGTGG